CCTGGGACTAGATCCAATATACCCATATCATGGTACGTTCCCAACCCGCGTCCCCGCTGGTGTCCCAAACCCTTGGGCCGCCGGATGTCACACACGGCGCTCGTCCGGATCTGCACACATTTGCCTTAATTAGTACACCGGGGCTGTTCAGAGTGCACAGACACCTGAGTGGGCTAGCGAGGCCAGACGAGAGCGCGGACCCAAGGCTCTCGTATCTTCAAAGGATGCTTTTTCCCGCTCGACACGTTCGCTGTCATGCCGCCCCCAGACAAAGCCCGCATCGTCGACTTGGCTCAACTATGGTGAGCGCGTTGCTTCTAGGATCCCCCCCAAGAGGAGGTAAACTTCGCCTACCTCGCGCCACAGCGAAGCTGAGTGTATCTTTGACGTCGTGCGCGCGCCTGGCGAAACTCGGGGCTGTCCAGCGATGGCTTCTCAAGTGGAAGCTCTCTAGAAAAAGTCGCCACCCTGGTGGATTCGTGCCAGGTGGACATACGTGGGTGCATTGAGTCTGGGTTATCCTGGTTTCACCAGCCTCCACGGGCGTTCTTCCACGCACCACATCGGCAGCATCGCAACCCTGCATCGGATCTGGGACAGTTGGCATTCTCAAAGTTTGTTCCAACTCCAGGTGGAGATGCGTGGGGGGCGAGCAAGGATGCGACAGTCTGTACGCACGAAGGTCGATCGGCTTCTTCATCGCGATTTGGTAGTCGGCACTGCACAGGACTGGTAGCAAAACAACGTTTGGCGATAGCACATCCAGACTGACGATCGTCTCAAGCGCTCATTCGCTGGCTCCACACGCCCCCCCCTCGAGTTCATGGGCAGGTCAGCCTGTGCTGGAGTTTCTGCTGCGACGGAACCACCCCCGGCCGCACCGGTCCTGGCGGAAGGACCAAATCCAGAGTCTCCGTAACAACATAAACCGGGTGTAGTCCACTCTAGCACTATTCGCCCCGCTTGTGGGCCTGGGCGGGGTGTCAAAGGCTTGTATTTGCTGCAGAGAGATGAGCGTTAAGGCCCAAGTGATCCGTTTCTCCTTCCCACTACGCGGGCGTTGATGGGCGGCACCTTGGCGGTGGACGGGTACTGCTCGTACGCAAGGCATCCTCTGCGCATGCATGTTTTCCCGACCCAACGTGACAATACGAGATGCCACGCGAATTCGAGCATAGTGCCCCCCCTTGCGCCCAGCGCCGCGATGCTGCCTTGGCGCACCCAGAATCTTTTCACTTCTTACGTCCGCCGTGACTAGCACAGCCCCCGCGACGTGTACCGACTCTTGCGAACGGCGACGACGCAGCGCAAGTATCTTCCTGTACACTTGACGCTTAGCGCAACCTCCGCGACAGCGGGCTGAGGAGTGTAGCCGCAACATAGTGGTAGTTGGCAAAGTCGCACGCGCTGTGATCACGGGCCGATCAAGACGACGTTTCGTCTCTGCAAAGCAATCACAAACATCTCCTGAACAAACTGTTGCCAAGCACGCAAGCTTTTCCCCATCCATATCCACCCCTCCGATCCCCTACCGCTCTTCCGCGCACTTGCACAGGACCGTAGCCCGTTCATCCAATTCGAAGACGACGGCGACCCGATCGCTGGGCGGGGAACCTGTGGGGGCAAGTGATCGCTCGTTTGGTGAACTCTGCTTGTTTGTCTAGCTCATACAGGCGCCTACTCTGTCTGATTGATTCTTTTGAATTGCGACCTGCGCTGAACATGCTTCTGTTATTGACGTCGTCGGCAACGACCATAACGATAATTCCGCTTCATTCGTCGACAGGTCGATTCGTTCAAGGCGTGGAAGCAGCGCTGACGGTGTCCGACAGTGCGAGTCGTACGTGCCTCCACGTCGGTTGAGCACGTCGACAGAGCAGTAGACTCTGGCATCTTTTGTGCAAGGATGCCCACGTGCAAATCGTTGCCAAGTCTGGGGCCTAACGACGTCAACAACAGAAGCATGTTCAGCGCAGATCGCCATTCAAAAGAATCAATCAGACAGAGAAGGCACCTGTATGAGCGAGACAAACCAGCAGAGTTCACCAAACGAGCGATCACTTGCCCCCACAGGTTCCCCCCCATGGCACCATCGGCACGTTACTCTGGGCAACTCGCCCACGTCGTATCGTTTCCATGGGCGAGTGTACGGGCCAGTGATCGGGTCGTCCGAGGCGGCTGCCGTCGTCTTCGAATTGGATGAACGGGCTACGATCCTGTGCATGTGCGCGGAAGAGCGGTAGGAGATCGGAGGGGTGGATTTGGATGTGGAAAAGCTTGCGTGCTTGGCAACAGTTTGTTCAGAAGATGTTTGTGATTGCTTTGCAGAGATGAAACTTCGTCTTGATCGAGTGGCGACCGGTCTACCTTGAGTATCGTTGGAGTTGTATTCGCGCCACGATCGTGAAATCCGGTCTAGCAACGTAGAAGGCCAACGCAAGGGCCAACACGACCTACGCAGCGGAGCCTTCTCGCCCAGCACGGAACGTTTTCGGGGGTCACAACGTGCATTTACTGATAGCACTGCAGTATCGCCACGGAGAAGAAGGCTCCCCTGCATCATCTTGAGACATGTACTCGATTTGTGCAGGAGACGGCTACGTGGTCTACCGAAGGCCTGTCGTCAAAGTCCAAGAGCGAAGGAGCTGCGACTTGTTACACTCGTTCCTCTCGCGCAGGCGATGTCGTAGACTGGTAGTTGGGCACTGCCGTCGACGACAGTGCCGTGGTGGGGTCGACGTTGTTGGCCGGCTTCGCGGGCTCCATCAATTGCTGTAGGTACTCCACGGGGTCTTGGTCGACGGTGATGTGCGTGCTCGTAAAGCCATCTGGGTATCGTAATCCGTACCCCAAGGACCGCTCCCAGCCAAGGTGGGCACCCCATATGCATGCGACATAAGCCAGCCAGGTGTGTTCGGTCCACAGGAAGAACAGCGTCGCCGCCACTGTCGGCCCGACAAGAGTGTGCGACGTATTGTACACAACACAGCCGACAGCAGGCCCAAACGCATACCCCACCGAGAGCAGGTCGCCAGCGAAAAACCCTGCAACGAACACCCACCAATTGCCTTGGAGATGATAGTACGCCACGATACAAGCCACCATCAAAGCGGCCCCTTCCATTTGCAGCAAGATGCGCACCAGGCCGCGAGCATGTGGAGCCGACGCGACCGACTCGGTTGACGGAGGCACGATTGGCACTGTCTCCGATTCCACCATGTTCGATCGACCAAATTTCTGGGCTGG